TCAAATAAATTTCAGATTAGGGTATCTTATCGTATAATTATCCATAAAATACCTATATTTCTCCTTTTCGAAAAACTGATATTTTCACATGCGAAAATAACATGTTATTTTCACATGTGAAAATATCGTTACCATGTGTATTTAAGCTATTACACCTTTTGCCGTTCATTAACAGAAAATGTACATTCATTTGTGCCAATAGTTGTATCAATAACGTGTAATGTACTTTCATCAACACCACAAGTAACATCATTAGCGCGGATCAACTTTCAATAACGACAATTGAATATGCGTGTACATTCATAGGCATCAATGGACAATCAATAGCGCGTTTGTACATTCATATGCGCGGAATGTATTTTCCTGTGCGCGAAATTCAACTTCAATAACACCAAATGACAAACAATTGCATTTATGGACAATCATTTACCCAAAAGTGAAAATTCATTAGTGCTATTAGCATAATCATTGACAATCTATAACGCGCTTGGACAATCATGAGGGTCAACGTTATATTCTATAGCGTGGTTCGACAAACATTTGCATGATTCGAATGAACAATAAAAGAAATAAAACAAAAATTAGTTAGTTATAATAATAAAAAGCTTATTAAGTTGATTTTATGGATAATTATATAATAAACAGAATATTACATGGGCGCTTGGAGATACGAAATTTATCTTCTCGTGTTGAAAATTTTCTACACTCGTTCGCTGCGCTCACTTGTGAGAGATCTTTTCAACACTCGAAGATAAACTTGGTATCTCCTAGCGCCCATGTAATATCCTTTATGTACTGCGGTTGTAATGTATCAAATTAAGCTGATCTTCGCAGTATATAACAAGCAACTTATGCAGCTACAAATTGAAAGACTCAGAAAAAAGAGTCTTGAACTTAATCTAATTATGTTTTTTTCGGTATATTTTTAATGCAGGGAACCAACGGGTGTATTGGCATGCTGCAATCCTGTCCCCACCCTGTTAAAGCAATATGCGAATGAAGTTCATCAGATCATTCAAGACGCCAAAGAACGTTCAGTAACTGTTACCGAAGTAAGCCACTCTTAAAATGGAAAACATTATTCATATCAAAGATTATACTTATTAAAGGCACAGAACCACGGTGCAACATTGCGCACAACATTGCAGGCGATGTTGCTGAAGTAGGATACAGAGTTCGTGCTACTCCTTAAACTCCTTGAAAACTCCTTGAATTTAATTCACGTTTTCAAGGGCACTTGAGAAGCTCTTGAATTTTATGATATTAGCGAAACTCCTTGAATTTTTGCTTTGATCATTACTTGCATAGTTCTGCAATAGATCTAGTCAGAAAGATTGGAAAATCTGAAAGTCGGCCATATGCAACCACCGTGTAAAACTTGGCATAGTTAGCTGAACATACTGCTTGAAAATTCATTTTTGGGTCTTGCATACTCCTCGAATAGTCCTTGAATTTTAAGTGGTTACCTCAGCACGAACCCTGAGGATAGTTTTCTACTTCATCAACGTTTCGTGCAACAAATTGCGTCGTGTGTCATGGCTCGCAACATCATTGGCATGCAAAATTCGCGCAATGTTGCATCGTGTGTCCGTAGCTTAATTGTCTCACGATTCTGGCAGTTGGGAGGACCACAATATTTCGACTGCTACTGCTAGTCTTCATCAGGCGATGGTGTAGACTGGAAGGTGGTCTTCTTATATACCGTGAGTCTGTCTCCCTTGACGATCACGCTTGGGCTATGATTAGCTGTGGTGGTCGGTATCCATAGGGCACTCTTTTTGATGATGGTGGTTGCGGATGGATGTAGCTTGGATTACTTGCCAATTTTGTAAAGGATTCCTTTTTTCTTTCTTTCATTTATCCATTTCATCCATCTATCTCATTCCATCATATCCATCCATCTCTTTCCATCTGTCCCATACCATCCATCCATCTGTCCATCCCATCTGTTTATCATATTCAATCCATCCATCAATATTGCATTCTAATCCCATCTATCTATCCATTCATCCAATCCATTTATTCCATCCATTCATCCCATACATCCATCCATCCATCCCATCCGTTCATTTCATCCATTCATCCCATCCGTTCATTCCATCCATTCATACCATCCGTTCATTCCATCCATCCATCAATCCAACTCATCCATCCATCAATCGCATTCTAATCTCATCTATGTATCCATTCATCAAATCCATTTATTCCATCCATTCATCCCATCCATTCAGTTACATCCATCCATCAATCCAACTCATCACACATATCCTATTTCATTCATCCATACCTCCCACCCATCCCTCTATCCATCCATCCTTGCTTCTTTCTCTTCCTTTTTTCATTTCTTCTTCCATCCCCTTCTCTTTCTCCCACTCTTCCACACACCTTTCATCATTCTCTCCTATTGATAATGGCAACAGTCTTATCCCGACAAAGGGCTAACGCCCGAATCGTCAGTTCAGTTGCACACCTTTCCGCTAGTTCTTTATCCTATTTTCCTTTTCTTTTTCTTGTTTATTATCATTTTATTCATTTCTTATTCATTTATTTTCTTTCCCAGGAGAACATCTCTTCAACAGAAGCCACACCCATGGAAACAAGCTCTAGGTCTCCCGTGGTAGCAAGACTAGACGTGAAAGAAACTAGAAGCAAAAGTATAGAAAGGGCGAGTCAATATGGTAGGACTCCTTTCTCAAATGCATTAATAATTCATGAGGTCAATGACCAATGGCGACTTTGCATTGTAGTCACGTGCACGCACCTTGATACTTGATCAAAAACGGCCTAACGGACTCTGCTTTCATCTGTTTCTCGGTGTTTGGATGCCCTGATCAAACACTCGCACTCGCTTTTGGTCTATCACTTCAACTGTAAAACACAATCGACACTTTTACCTTGGGTGTAATGTTCTCTCATTTAAGACCACGTGTCATTGCGAATAAGATTCATCCATATACATGGAATGACACATGGTCAGAAAGGGGAATGCATTAGGTTTAGATTTCAAGCTGTGTCATTCCCCTTTTTTGGTTGTATCCACATTCATGTGTCTTCTCATGGGCAACCGTTAAACAAAGTAATGATACTCTATGGAATGTTACGTGGTATGAAATGGAAAAACATAACGCCCAAGGTAGAGGTTTACAATAGATCAAATTCACTTGGTGGTAATGTTTTACCTGTTTTAGACCACGTGTCATTCTCTTGAGAATAAGATTCTTTGTTTGAGTGGTATCCATATTCATGAGTCTACTCATGGGCAACCGTTAAACAAAGTAATGATACTCTAGGGAATGACACGTGGTTTCAAATGGGTAAACATTTCGCCAGACCAAAGAGGCCAAAGGTTATGGACACTGAAAATAGAGCTCTATTTTCACAACTAATAGGCAGCGACTATTAGAATTATTTTTGTGTTTCAGCGAGCCAAGTGTCAACAACTCCAAGACCTGTGAAGGCTTACATACCCACTGGACCACAAGTCAAAACCATGAAACCGTCAATTAGTATTTTCGACTATCCACAGGTACTTATACCTTGTTTATGATGGTTTTATTGATCAGCACCATCCTAGTTCGTAACTAAAAGTGTGAACCATTTTTCGCTTGTCACGCACAAAGTTTTCAGTACGGGGCTACGTGCTGAAACAAATAGGCCCTTTGCAGCTCAGTAATCACGTGCTGATTAATTCACTGAGAGCAAATGAATGAACATCTTGATTCCCATGGGTGAAATATACTGGTGAGCAAACGAAATTTCTGCAACCTTTATCGAGAGATCGTAATAAAACTGCATTTCGTGACACACTGGTTACACATCGTTTTATTCAGTTCTTTACAAGTAGCTCAGTTTATTCAGTTCTTTACAAGTAGCTAAAAAGAATCACCAATTTAAAATAAAATTTAAAAAATTGCTCACCAGTACAGACACGTGACCGTTAACTGCAAAGGACCTATTTATCAGCCATTCCGAGGTTGAGGGAAACACTGGGTCGAATTGGCATGCAAGACTTATGAGGGACATATTTCCAGGATGGCGGCTAAATCCACAATTTAGCGAGAGAAGAGCGGATTTTGAAAAAACCCACTAAACGGCCTCAAATCGCGCCGAAACTTCGCCAGAAGACTGCACAAAGTAAAAGCAACAACTGCAGCAAGTTTTGAGGCAAATTGTTGAGTGAAACATTTTATTTTCATGTCCTTAATCATAAATCCCACACATTCCCTTATAAACCATACACAGGAACCTTGTTTGGGCTGCCTGTCCTAATTCATCCCCTAAAACAGCCCCAAAATGCACTGCAATGCCAACTCGACCCAGTTTTTCTCCTCAATCTCGGAATGACTAATATTGGACCTCTGCACTTATTTTATTTACTTCTACATTTGAGAATGTCAGGTTTCCGTCTTCTATTTAAACCAAGAGAATATGAACTAAGAGAAGGAATCCCCCCTATATAGCCTTGTAACCATCATGTGCACAGGTTGATGCTATTTTTAGCTTGGAGATATTTTGAGCGAAGAGACTGATTGGTTGATTTCTTGAGGGTAGGCGGCTTCCAGTCTTGCATTAATAAAAAGAAGCCTGTGTTTTTGTCGTGGACGTAGCAAAATATGGCGCTTTTCGTGTCCTAAAACGAGGCATTAAAGGGCAGCATGATTATCGCGCGGGCATGGTAACGAGTTAAAAATAGCATCAAAGTGTATACAAGATGGGGTACGGGGATTCTTTCTCTTAGTTAATTTTCTCTTGTTTAAACTCTTTGAAAAGATACTAGACTTTTGAAAAATCCGCCTTTCTCTGTGTAAAGTGAAATACAGGAAAACGATGAAAAAGTGGTCATGTTTTCAGTTTGCGAGAAGAAACGTTAATCCAAAACTCTCTACTTTTCCAAAAAAGCTGGTCCCTAACAAGAGCGATGTATTAAAGTGCAATTAGTATAGGAAATCGCACGATCTCGAGTACAATTTGGAAATTAATAGACACGAGTAATGTTTTGAAAGTTCTTGTAATTACACGAGCCTTTAGGCGAGTGCAATTAAAGAACTTTCAAAACATTACTCGTGTCTATTAATTTCCAAATTGTACGAGAAGTTCGTGCGATTTTTTGTTTATAGTTCACTCAACAAAATTTCAGTAAAAAATGCGAAGCGACGCCGTTCATCTTTGTCTATTTGGCGGCCGATTTTCAGTCCATCGCGCAACTGAAATGCATAAAAAAGATTAGTTCTTACGGCTTTAAAATTTTATTTATACGTTTTTTAAATACAAAATGATAGAAAATAATTGTTTTGACATTGTTTTGGCCGTGTTGCCATAGCGACTTAATTCGGTACCCCTACGGAGTACAATTAACGCTATAATTGTACTCCTCTCGACCAATCAGAGTCGAGTAATTTTGTTGAGTGCACTATAATGATATTAAAAATGATTTGGAGAAAAAAAGTATTGTAACTATCAGGGGAGGGGTGGGTTATGCCAAAAAGCGACATGAGAATTTGTTAAAGAAAATCTGTTGGCCCTAAACACTTTTTGAATTTAAAAAATCATCTTTTCACGGTGTATAATTATCCCTTTTTATCATTACTGTTTCATTAGAAACACCGACGCAGCTCACACTAGTTTTTAGCTAGGTATCTTTACTTTTTGAATAAATGTGATCCAAGAATTCTGTTCTGAAGTATCAACTGAGCTGATATTTATTTTCCAGAAAGCTGGACCTCATAACGAAGGACTCGAGAAGGCTAAGGAGATTATGGCTGGATTCGTCAACCCATTCAAAGTGGTATGTTTGACTGTTTTACCACCCACACATGTAAATTTCCTCGCTTTCTGATTGGTCGACTGCCGTGGTAAATAAGAAAACATATATAGAGGATGTAATGTCAACTGCTGATGAAGCGTCCCTCAAAACAGCCCACAATGCAACGCATTTCTAGAACTCTTGAAAGGCTAATGGATATTCAATGTTGAGCATTTCAACAGGCCTCTAAGAATAAAGGGTGTGTGTGTGTGTGGGGCGTGTGTGTGTGGGGCGAGTGTGTGTGGAGCGTGTGTGTGTGGGGAGGGGGGGGGGGGGTATTTGCCGGTCAGTCCAACCACCCCCAACTATGAAAGTAAAATAGTTTTGGCCTTGCCTCTCAAGGCCGGTTTAGACGGTACGATTTTCGCCTACAACTATCGTATACAACACGCTCGCGTCTGTCGTAGGCGAGTTGTAGGCTTGATTTACACACTACGACTCGAGTTGTAGGATGGCGCGAGCGTGTTGTATACGATAGTTGTAGGCGAAAATCGTACCGTTCTAAACCGGCCTCAAGACAATAATATATTTATCCTGTATTGGATTGTTTCTACAAGGTTTTACCAGATCTTGAGGCAGCTGACGTCGGTAATAAGAACAGGACTGAACAATCGAAAGCTAGTATTGATAAGGTTGGTCTATAGAACTTGTCTGCCAAATATTGATAAAGCTTTGAAGTTGTGACGTATTTCCAGGTCCAATAGACATCCTCGGCTATGATGCGCTCGAGCGTAATGTTATCCCATTTCAGACCACGTGTCATTCCCTTGAGAATAATATTCTTTGTTTGAGTTGTAACCATATTCATGTGTCTTCTCATGTGCAACCGAGCGCAAACCTTAAACAAAGAAATAATACTCTAGGGAATGACACGTGGCCTGAAATGGGACTACATTACGTCAGAGCCGAGGAGGTCTATTTCTCACAAGAACCGCTATAATAAAACGAAAAATGTTCTCAATGATTTTTAAAAATTCCTCCTGAAACAATTAGAATTTTGGACAACGATTCCTGTCTTGAAGAAAAAGTAAGAAAAAACTTTTTACAGTAGAACTGCTTTTCGTTTTGGACTTGAAGTCCTTTTTTTTCCCACCATACGAGTGATGTCATTGTATTGAATTGCCCTATTTCACTATGACGTCACATCAAAACAATCTATTGTTTAAACGCAAAGGAACATGGTCGTCGGACGGGCTCAATTCAACGCATGTTCTAAAACCCGTATCAATCCACGAAGAGAAGTAGAATAGTCAGCAAACGCTCAGAATATTTTTTAGTACATATTAGCACATGTTATATCTGAAAACCAGGCCATTTTAGATTAACCTGTTTCGCTAGGAGCAAATTTTGTTGAATTTTCTATTGGATTTGGCGATTCTATCCCCCACATAAACAAGCAGTGACGTCATAGTGAAATAGGGCAATTGAATTTGTCTTCATTTACTCATGAGAATATTAATTTACATATACATTTTCCAGAATAGATAATCTATTTATAATCTTAATCTTAAATATAGAAGCTAGTATTTACGTTTGAGCCTAAGGGCTAAGTTAACTAAACGTTTTCTAGTTAACCCCCAGCCTGTTTATATTGCTATCGAAAACGGGTTGATAATATTATTACCCTTCTGACAATATTCACAGTATTGATTCTACATGGGGTAAGATGTGGAATAACCCGAAAATATTTCATAGTTTGAGTGCGGCTTCTTGAAGCTATAAAGGTTTTTCCAAGCCATATGCTAATGCTGTGACGTATGAGAAGTAATCATTTAATATACAAAACATTACTGGCACACATAAATAAAATTTGGAATACGTCATTGTTTTTCCCATTGCTCTTATCGAAATTATTGCAAGTAGTTTTCACATAGAAGCCGGTGTTTCGAATTACGAGGAACAACAAATCACTATAAATGCCTCCTCATACATCACAACATTAGCATATGGCATGGAAAAACCTTTATAACTTCAAGAAGCCGCACTCAAACTATGAAATATTTTCGGGTCATTCCACATCTTACCCCATGTAGAATCAACACTGAGTATGTACTTGTTTTATTAGATAAATGAAAATTGGAAGAAAGTTTCTTCTGGCGTTTTAGAGGAGACATCGAGTTCTACACAAGGTATGCTTCTTGACTTGTGATTTTACTTTTCTCATTTAACAATAATAAATAATATAAATATCTTAACAATTTATTATAAAATAATTGGGATACTACGCGCGCTATGATTGGTCGAAAACCATGTTTGATGAGAGTATCAAAACACGCTATCGTCATTTTTAATCTATC